GCAAACGCGTAACTGGATCGAAAAATTGTGTCCTGCGTTTCCTGACGATTCAGAATCACCTATAGATGTTTAAGTTCCCACTCTCCTTCACTGCTAGAAGGGAGCAAACGTACCAAGCGGCAGAGTGTTTTGGGGCTTGTTGGTGACCGGCTCCCATAAGGCTACGTGTATTTTGTAGAGCAGACATCGCTTCTAGCAACGTCTTCTCACTTTGCATGCCTTCTCTGTGTGTCCCAATTAGTAAATTGACAACCCGAACCGATCGGTCCGACGGTCCGCAAGGGTGAAATCAGCCCCTTCAGAATTGTATGCATTTCCCCTAAGGCGCAGATAGGCAATCCGCACGACTTTTGAGGATTTTCTCCTATTTTCGGCTATAAATGACCCGTATTGTTGTATTGTCGGTAGGGAGGCTATGTAAGTTGGTTCGTCAGGTTCCTATCTGAGTAAAAAAAATGCAGCACATAAAATTTTCACTTCAGACGTGCTTTTTGGACTTTGTTCGTTGCAAGCACTAAGTATACGGCAATTTCCATCAGACGATTGGCTCTGGTGTATGAGACTGCTGAAGTTAGACGAATGCTAATAATCATCGCCGAGACTTCAACAAACGAACGTACAAAAAATCTTTATAATACAATACGATTTAGGGTCATTTATAGCAGAAATTAGGAGAAAAACCTCAAAAGTCGTGCGTGCATGCAAATCGAACAAAGACCAAAAAGCACGTCTGAAGTGAAAATTTTATGTGCTGCATTTTTTTTTACTCAGATAGGAACCTGACGAACCAACTTACATAGCCTCCCTACCGACAATACAACAATACGGGTCATTTATAGCCGAAAATAGGAGAAAATCCTCAAAAGTCGTGCGGATTGCCTATCTGCGCCTTAGGGGAAATGCATACAATTCTGAAGGGGCTGATTTCACCCTTGCGGACCGTCGGACCGATCGGTTCGGGTTGTCAATTTACTAATTGGGACACACAGAGAAGGCATGCAAAGTGAGAAGACGTTGCTAGAAGCGATGTCTGCTCTACAAAATACACGTAGCCTTATGGGAGCCGGTCACCAACAAGCCCCAAAACACTCTGCCGCTTGGTACGTTTGCTCCCTTCTAGCAGTGAAGGAGAGTGGGAACTTAAACATCTATAGGTGATTCTGAATCGTCAGGAAACGCTCTACAACGTTTAGAGGACACAATTTTTCGATCCAGTTACGCGTTTGCCCACAAATCAGCCGCAAAGAAAAAGTTGAACTTAAAAAAAAATAGTTTTTGGACTTTTTTCATGATTTTTGAAGTGAAAAACAAAATATCATGAAAATACGACCACATGGTTTTGTAGTGCTGTTTGGGGAAGAGCCTGAGCACTTGCCCACTCCGATAGCATAAATAGTTTAGGAGCTATGCCCGGAAAACCATTACGGTGCAGAAATCCAAAATGGCGGACTTTGAACGCCCGTCACGGGTGAACGCATGGGCCGATTTTAGGGGAACTCCATGGGAGTACTCCCAGGACCACCTACTATAAGCCCTAAAAGTTCCCGCTGTTGCGAATTTTGGGGGGGTCAAATGTCTAATGTTCCTGGGCTACAAGTCAGGGAAGTCAGGGAAATGTCAGGGAATTGTGCGCTGTGTCAGTGAAAAACGGCCGGCAGCGTCATTTTGGGTAGGACATTCAGTCACGCGATTTACTGAAGAACATAAGAGCCGGGCCTAGCTTGGCCTGCCGGCGGCGTTTTGTGAGAGGTATCAAGCAGTATATGTGATTGAAAAATTGTAACGCTAACGCGTTAATCGGCCTCTGAAGTTTTAACGAACAGTCGTAGATTGAGCGTTGACACTGAGAAGAGGGGGTTTTCAAAACTTGATGGGTCTTCGTTCTGAAGTCACCACAATAACAAAACCAGCAACAACACAAGCGCCTTATAGAAACTGCTTCGTGGGCATTACCCGGCAATGCCAACTTTTACTTATTGTTACAGCTATCAAAACACATTTCATTTAACCACCTCTGAAGTGCACATGAAAACGCCAAGAAAGGGTTATTAAAAGTGGGTTGAACATAAGTGAAGAGAGTACATCACTCAATTCATCCAAAAACATAAAGCGAATTCGTTTGCAAAGGTTGGTACCACTGTTAGAAGCCACGCTGTAGTGAAAGCAAAAATAGTTGTGATGTTGTTACTCAAAATGTGGCCGAAATTACTTTGGTGTGATGTTGCTTGAAAATGCGAGGCGGGAGCAAAATGCCTCGCTGACTAGTTTGCCTCACTACCACTTTAGAATAATTTCACATCAGAATCTTGATGACTAAAACTTGCATTCGTACGTGGAATGTTAGGATAAGGATAGACAAGGGGATAACACAGGTTTCAAAATATGAATATATAATTAAATCAGATACTTACATTACAGACAGCAGCAGCCACTTCGAGTCCATGCCAGGTCTTAGGGGTGTCTTCTTCGTGCTACTAACTTCTTACTCTCTTGCTGATTACTAGTACTGCCTCTCGGCCGGCCGCTCCGGCCCCGGGCCCGGAGGCCCCGCGCGGTCCCGCCCGGCGGGCCGCCCGTTCGTCGCGCTGGTCGCCCTTCGGCAGGTGCCCGAGGTGACCCTCCTGCTTCCCGGTCGACACGCGCGCCTAGCGCAAAGATACGAAAAGTTACCAGATTCGCGTTGACACAGCAGTTAGGCGGGAGATTCAAAATTAACAAGTTAAAACTTCAACATTAGTTGTTGGCTTGACAACAAAGCCTCCTTTCTACCCAGTATTGTCGCAGCCACGCCCATTTCTAAACAAACTGTGCAGCTTTGATTTTACACTAGTAGAAGTTGCGATTAGGATATCTTCTAGCATCGATTAAAAGCTTGTTCGGTAGCTTAAGGGGAGGGTATACTGAAATCCTTAAAATCTAAACAAGAGACAATATCAAAAAAGTGGTTTATAATAGTAGTAGTACTCACTTTAAAAACTCATTTAAGCAATAGAATGTCCAAATCCATCAAAAAACTTTGCGCATAGAACTTTTTTAACTTAAAAGTTTACGTAACTTTTGAAACTTCTGTGCGCACAGTTTTTTGGCAGACTTTTGGCATTCTATACCTTAAATTAATCCTGAAAGTGCATACTACAACAATTATAGAGTACTTTTTTGATTTTGTCTCTTGTTTAGATTTTAACTTGATTAATTCATAAATTAGGTGATTTATCAATTTTTTCAGTATACTCTCCCCTTAAAGAACGGTGCACAACGGTGCACAATCGGCTCGCTTACACTACCCTGTTTAAATCAATACTAACTGCACTAGAAATTCAAATCATAATAATATTAAGAATAAGCGTAAATGTCACATATTATTCAGCTTCCTGTTGTTCTCGACTAGAACATATGTGTTTTGTCTCATAGACTCGACATACATCTTTTCACTTTCTATTCAGCCTGTCTTTGTCGGTGGTGCTTCTGTAGCAAGTGCTTTAATTACTAATCGTAATCGGGAGAACATTCAAGTACCCTTAAAAATGTTTAAAATTGCGTTTTTCTTTATATTAGGCTGTTTTTAGTATATTACTAAAAAAAAAACACAGTAATTTACTGCAGGTCGATCACATTCCGGTCGAGTCGCGGTTCCGGCGCCCCGTCTAAACCGTCTAGACGTGGCGTCATTCCTCTGTTCTCGCCGTTTCCGCTGTTGCCAAATTTCTACTTCCCCCACTCTTTTCCACCTTTCACGTGACCCCTGGCCGCATGGAAAGGCTCGCGCCTGCAGCCAAAAAGCTGTCCAGCTGGCCGGCTGTCAAATCGGGCTCGCTCTCACTCCTTCTCATGTGCTTGAAGACACCATTTCAACAAGCGTGGAAAGTGAATCATACTATGACGATACAATGACTGGTAAGTTAGTTTTGCTGTATTCTCGTTCGTGCTCGCCTAATCCCGATGTGTTGCCACTGTCGTTTTCATTGAAGTCCCGTTTGACGAGTGTGAGGATGTGAAACGTCGGGCTTTGACGAGCACGTGTGTTCTCTTTGGCTCTGATGGTATAATTAGGGTCTATCCTTTTAAGAAGCGTGCTAGTAGTCTGGCGATTTGCGTGCCCTTCTTCCCCCACCGCGCCTGGCATCTAGCTACATCGCCCCTAGCATGTAGCACGTAGCTACTATTACGTGGCTACTAGCATCCGTATTAAGAGGATAGACCCTTAGCGTCAAACGAACCCGTTCAGTTCAGTTATACGACTTTGACAGTGCGTCTGTCAATGTAAAGCACGTGTCAACAGATCATCGTCATTCGGATACGTGTGTCTCATTCATTGTTCTCTGTTGTAGATCCCACCGCAGCTCACAAGGGAACCCCGCCAAGTGTAAATTCCCGATTTTCATTCTACTTTGGGAAATTGTTGGTCTAAATATGTCATCGAAGGACACATCAAAGATTTTTGCTTAAATTCATATTTAGGGGTCATTTTGGGTATTTGTTCAAAAAGCTGCTATTTCAATTATTTTTTATAACTTTCAAGAGAGCTTCCTATAGGGTAATTCGTCAAATTGCGGCTTTTGGGCGAAAATTTCGTCCGTTTTGCTCTATCTGAAGCCGTTTAGGCGCTACCGCCACGTTTAGGAGGGGAAATACACAGGAATCACTAGGGCTTATGAGCAACGGTTGTAAAAAGCAGTCCCACAAAAAATGTTATAAAACAAAAGTTGTAGAAAAATGTAAGATCTTTAACTTTTGTTTTATAACATTTTTTGTGGGACTGCTTTTTACAACCGCTGCTCTTAAGCCCTAGTGATTCCTGTATATTTCCCCTCCTAAACGTGGCGGTAGCGCCTAAACGGCTTCAGATAGAGCAAAACGGACGAAATTTTCGCCCAAAGGGCCGCAATTTGACGAGTTACCCTATAGGAAGCTCTCTTGAAAGTTATAAAAAATAATTGAAATAGCAGCTTTTTGAACAAATACCCAAAATGACCCCTAAATATGAATTTAAGCAAAAATCTTTGATGTGTCCTTCGATGACATATTTAGACCAACAATTTCCCAAAGTAGAATGAAAATCGGGAATTTACACTTGGCGGGGTTCCCTTGTCAGTGGAACCGGCTGCTCGACGCCGTGTCGATCGACCGAGAACTCCAAGGCGAGTTTATGGGGCCTGGGGCGGCAGGCCGCATGTCTGCCAAATGGGAACAGCTCGCTGCCAATCTTAACTCTATGGGAGGGGCTTTTAAGACTGGCGACAAGTGGAAGGAGGTAAGTACTTTGCACGTTTTCAGTTATTTTTAATATGCCAACTTTTCTGTGCTAACAATTCTTTCCTTTGCATAGGCCTACTGCAACTTGCGAAACAGGGCTAAACGGCAGTATGCTGACCGTTCAAGATATATGAGGGCTACGGGGGGAGGCCCACCTCCTCCAGCAAGCCTGGGGCTGGGCCCCGTCTACCAGCGAGTGCTTGCGCACGTTCCCCTCCAGCACGTCATAGGCCATCCGCAAGTGCCAGCCCCACTTCAGGTAAGAACTTTATTTACTTAGGCTTTGGGAATGATTCTGGGTCTCAAGTTCAATATATTTGAGCTCTAGTATCACTGTCAAAGAATCTATGTATTTTTGAATCATTTAACCAATAATTTTGTTTGCTTTCAGGCTCAACAATAGCAACAGGCTGGTTTTGTACCCCAGCCGGTGCAGCAGGTCGTGCCCCAGAATCAGGCGCAGCAGCAGCCCCAGGTCGTTCAGCATGTGCTCATAGATCTAGATCAGCCCAGCTCCTCCTCAGGTAAGTAACTGATTGCTATGTTGCTGTCTAAGGTAGAGACATTTTGGTGGAACATTCATATGCTAGAGTGTCCAAAATCTTCATGGTTTTTTGAAAGTTTTCTGCCCTTCCATGGTTATAGATTGCAGTAGACTTTTAGAAAACATTTGAAACAGGTTTTCGATACTTAGCATTCATGAATTTGTTAATGTTTTCAATCAGGCCGGAAAGACTCCACTGTAGCGTCATTAGCATTCAAAAGACTGTTTAAGGCTCTGCTTTTCTTTCCTGCCTGATTAAAACCATTTGGTTCCTACCTCATACCATGCCTCTAATGTTGCATTAACACATGGACAATTATACCCAATAAAATCACCAACTTTTAGACATCTGATTGTTTTTGACTGTCAAATGAATAAATGTTTGTTAACTGGGTAATTTTGTGTTCAGCACCAACGGTTGTAATAAGAAATCCCTCAGCATGATTGGTCTTCTAGAGTATAAACTAATTATCATAAAACTGTATTGTTTCAGAAATTGGTTTTAACTCTAGAATACTAATCCCCTAATGCCCAATGACTCTCTATTAATTGCTTCCTTTTCTAATTTAGTGGGCCCTTTCATGGACTACGCGGGAGCGCCACCACCCACCCAGGAGAGCTCGTCCGTGTTCAGAGGGTACGGGCAGGGCCATGGCTCTCACGCTCACGCCATCAACCAGGCCATTGGTATGTATGTACTCTTTCATTAGGAATTTTTGAAGGCTTTACCACATTCTGAATGCAAAGGAAAAATTTAGTTCATAAAGAGAATGTTTTTGTGCTCATCCAGACTAGATGCAATTTTTCTTGAACTGGAGAAGTAGTGTACAGTTGTACACAAATTATCTAGTTACAGAATAAATGCATCAAGCTTGGATGTGCACGAAAACATTCTCTCTTGGAACAGGATTGTCTCTTTACATTCAGAGTGGTGTATAGTTGTCTAAAGTCTGTTACTTTCCTTATTTCACGTAAGTAATCACCATTATTCTAATGTTCTTTTTCCCTTTCAGGCACGGGCGATCTCATTGAAGCAATTCAGGTTTTAACGGCCACTATTTCATCTCTGTCGATGACCGTGGACACTGCTTCATTGGATGCTGCCATTGAAAAATTCGCGGAGAGCATTGAAACACTCAGCAGGCTACAATGAATCATCTAGTCAAATTGTTTCATTTTTTAGCCCGCCCTTCTGCTTTTAAAAAAGCATTAAAGCGGGCTTATGCAACCGCTCTCGTGTCCGTCCGTCCGTCTGTCTGTCTGTCCGTCGTCCGTGTAAGAGGAAGGAGATGAGCTAGAGGTCTGCAAATTTCAGGGTATCTTAGGGGTCACTCCTGGACAACGAAACGCTTGGTGCAAATCCTGGCAACCACCCCTAAGGGGGTGAAAGGGGGTAACAAAGAAATAGGGCTTGGTCGAAAAAGTAGAAAATCAATTTTATTTTATGGTCCCCTAAGGGGTAACTCGTGAAAGTAGAGCCCTCTGGGCTAAAATTTCGTCCGTTTGCCTCTATCGTGCACCGTTTGGGCGCTAGAGTTGTTTTTTCGACGAAAATACGGTGAAAATGACCACGTTGCACATGAAGACGTATAAGGAGGCGTCCAATGTCCAATCGTAAAAAGTCAGAGGAAGTACCCCCCCAAAACAGCACATTCTGAGACTGATGGTACCCTCCGATTTACCGTATCTTTAACCGTTTAGGAGCTAGAGGTAGATATATTGATAACATTTGCAAAAAGTCAAGTTTTAAGACTGTTTGATAAACAATATACAATCTACAATATAAAACCTGCGCGTGTTCTTTTGTTTTAATACTTAAGCAAAGCAGAAGGGTGGGGTGTAGTCACGGTGTAGCCCCGTTACAGTCTTTTGTCATGTCCAAGGAGCAAATTTCTAGGGCCGCAGGCCCCCCACCGGACGCATTAGTTAACTCAAATGTACAAAGTGATTTACGGGTCACATTATTTATTTGATTATGCACTTCGGTAAATTGCGAGACTGAAATGGTCGGGCGGAAGGCCAAACAAATGGACCAGCTTTTTTCAATTA